ATTTTTCTGATCACAAAATAGAAAATAATTTGATTCAATTCCTGATGGATTAACGATAAAATTTAACAAAATATATAATAAATTAAAATTCATTTTTAATTTATATTAATTAATATTAGTAATATTTAAAATTTATTAATATTTATTTATAATAAATAATAATTAATATTAATGAGGATTATAATTGGAAAAAATGATAATAAGCTATCAAAACGCTACTCCAAGTAGCGTATCAATAAGCTAGCTTATGTGCATCCAAACATGTACCCAAAAGCTTATTTTTGCCAAATAATGCCTAAATTAGAATCTAGAAGTACAATCTAGAGGATACATCATAAATTCAAATTATATATGTAGAGTAGAATGACTCAACTCGTTATGATGCTAACAACATAATCTTAAAAGTCAAACAAGCCATTTCAACTATGTAACAACTGTCAAACAAGACTTTACAACTATTTAACCATTGTCAAAGTTCAGTTCTGAAAAGATTGTTTCAAAGTCCACTATAGCTTTGCAAACTGGTGTCAGTTTTCTTGTAGTTAGGATTTTCCTTTGCTTGCCTGACTGCATGTTTTATGAGCGGCTCACTACGTGTAAAACTGAATTTGAGCACTCATTTAGTTCTATCACCACTACACATCTAGCTTCGTCAACTGAATATTCCCCCCAGGCATTAGGTTTGTGAATGGACTACCTACAGGAGAATTATGCATGGGAATAGACCAAAGTTGTCAATAGTTTTTATTCTAGTTCATTGTAGGTTGCCTAGTTGATTAATACCCAAGGGGAATATAAGGATTGCGCTGTTTGCATCACTTCATTATTCCTGACTCTTTTGTTATAAAGCTGGTGGGTCACGGGGACTTTCATACATGCATAATGTCCCTGTGATCCATCTACTTTATGCAGAAAGTAAAAGATAATTAGTTAACCTTCTGATGTCTGAACTAGTGTAAAGGAACTTAACCTCATTTTTCACTGTTTGCTATCTGTTTCAACTTTCTATGTCACTATGTGAGTTGGCATGGTTGCATTTATGATAGCACATTTTCTTCCTTCAAAAAGTGTACCAGTAACATCTGTTATTATTTTGGATGTGTGAGATAACATGTTAATCCACATGCTAATGGTTTAGATGTAATTGTTGTTCAAAATTTTCATTTCTTTTCTTGCCCTCGACAGGAACTGATATTATACTTTGGCATGGGAAGTCTGGAAAGATGCTGGGAAATGTTGACACAAATCAGCTCAAGAACAATATGGCTACTGTATCTCCAAATGGGCGGTTTATTGCTGCAGCCGCCTTCACGGCTGATGTCAAGGTGACAACCACAAATAATGTAGCTTATTTATTTTTCAATTGGCGTACTCAAGTAGATTATTTGCTAAATGAATTCGTACAATGAGATTATCTCTGTGGCTACTCAAACACCATTTTTGGTTTGCCTGTGGAATCAGCATATAATTTTCTCTTTGAAATGCTTAATTCTAGTTTTAAGATTATGGCTTCTAATGCTATGAGAGGTAAGTACATCTCTAATCTCTTACAAGCAAAGCTGGCAACATATTTTATTCCCCAATCTTAATCAGACATGTACGCAAGTCATCTGTGTCCTTTGTGCTTGGAACACAGATTGGTATATATCTAATGAAGTATGCACTGAAGTGACCTTTTACGAAGTGAACGACATAATAGCCATGTAAATGTTGAGCCCTGTCTTAGTATATAACAGTAGGCAAGATGGGCTAGAAAGTCTGCACCCTTTGTCAAAGATGCATTGTTCCCATGTTGCAACATAACGAAGTTTTAGTATAATAGTTGTGTACATGATCCATATTGTCTTAACATGTCTCAGTAGGAATCAACAGGCCAGAACTGGACCGGTTGTTTTCCACCATTTGCCCATTCCTTGTTAGACGTCTGGTATGGGAAAATGGTGGCACCAAGGGGATAAAGTGTTATTCAACTATATCTGAATAATAATATCAGATTGAAGCTCTAATTTCTTTTTTTGGTAACCATATGCTCGTGAGTCCTGGGTAATGCTGTGTAAGTACCCTCTGGTCCTATTGTACAATCCATTTTATACAATCTCAGTGAGGCTTGTTCAAATATATCATCGCTGGTGTCCATTTCACTCCTCATTAAACATAGGTTTTCAGATTAGGAATCGGAAAGAAAAATAATTTTTTTGGCTGATTGACTATTCTAAGTGCATTGAGGATGAGGAACGTTTTGGAAATGGAAAGTAAAAGGCTGATTGCTAATTCTAGTCTTGACATGATGTAGGGTGCGGCAATTTGTGTATTTTATTTGTATCTCTTTTACGTACCTTACATTCTTGACTGGACATTTTTTCTTCGGTAACCAGTCTGTGATGTATGTACCCTTCTCCATCCAAGTATTTATGTTGGGTTCAAGGAGTTTTTTGGATCTCTCTAGAGTGACTAACTATGCCTTAATTTAATACAAGAGCTGACTGGTTAGCCGTAAGGTTGGAATACTTTTGGCTTTTAAGTGGTAGATGTGGCTTGAGGTTGGAATTTCTTGTCTTTTGGATATTGTATCTTACCAGGTGTATTGTTGTTAAGTAACATGTATCTAACATAGGTGACTTATTTTGACAGGTCTGGGAGATAGTATATTCAAAGGACAGTTCGGTTAAAGAGGTTACAAAAGTTATGCAACTGAAAGGCCATAAGGTCATCTCTCTCTCTCTCCCTCTCTTTCTAGTAGTGAATGTTTAGTTTTGTCTAGATTTGATATTTTTTAATCCCTTAAGAAGGCAAAGATTTATTCTATTTAAAAAAATTGAGGCAACTGACTATGAGACTATCACCATGTTAGGTGAAAGATCTAGTTTGCTACCACCACCTGTGCTGCTAGGAGCTTAAATGAACTAACAAACTTTAATATGGATGTCAAAAGTGCTGGCTGGACAAAAGCGTCAGAGCTGACAACTGAAGCTTTTGCCTTCAATCCTCATTTGTTTTATTGTATTGGAGGAAACACTGGGTTGGTTGTTCAGATGCCTTCAACCCGGCCAACCCAACCCATTTGCAGCCCTACAGTTCCATATCTTATTCAAGTCCTCTTCAATGGTCCAGATGATTGACTTGGGGATGCTGTTTGGTTAGAGGCATTAAGCAGTAACTAATGGGATTGAAAATAAAAGAAACTGTTTGGTTTTATATAATATAATGGGCTTATTCCTCTAGAGCTCAGATTTTCATTCCAGGTTAAACTGGGGGGGAAAGAAAATTCATTCCCATTTTCATTCCCTGTCATTTTCATTTTCATTTTCATTCCCCTGCCTGAACCAAACAGCCCCATTACTGTTTGTTCGTGTTGTTGCACACTGTAGCATTTGGCTTAAACTGTAGCATTTGGCTTAAAAACTCTAGTTTCGCCGTTCTTTTTTGGATAAAAGTTTTCTCGTATTTTATTATTTCTTTCCTGGCATTATTTAAACTTCTGTTTGGGAATGTTCAGAGTGCTGTGACATGGCTGTGCTTTACACCTGACTCAGAACGGATCATTACTGCATCAAAGGATGGCTCGATAAGAGTGTGGAACATTAATGGTACGTGTCTTCTCATGAAGTTTGCCTATAGATTGTTCTTCATATCCTATCTTGCTGCTTAGAGGAATACTAGATATTAATCCATGATGTAAGTTTACTTTTGTGGAATTGGGTCCATCACTTTGAATGATGAAGCTGTCTCTTCTATTGACACAATTATTCAGACAGGATTCCATAAGTTGAGAAAACCCGATATATCCCACTTAATTCAAGAAGTAGTTGCTAATTGAAGTGATGGAGGATGTTTAGCCCCTAGATGGTTGGTTAAGTTGCCCAAGATAACCAAAGCAGCATGGGGAGCTTAACTCTTAGGCAGCTGTTTAAGGAACCCTAAGCTGGGATTTTTAGATCACTGACTTGGTAGGCCGTTCTGTATATACCTTCACCATAGGATATTTGTTAAAACAAATTTTATTAACCTACTGAATTTCATCAAAACCAGAGTTTAAGGTTCCATTGGTTTATATCATTTTAACCCTTTCTCCGTTAACAAATTTTGTGGGTGTTTTATTTCTCATAAGACCAACAATCACATCTTAGTTTCTTCTCACACCATACAAATGATCCCCACAATATGGAAATGTTAATTGGCCTAAACGAATAGGACCTAGATGTTTAAAGGTTCTGAGAAGGTGATAATAGATTTCAACTGTCAGATGACATGGTCTGACGGATGTGAATCAAAGGGTGGTTACAGCCACCTTTTTCTTAAAACAACCCCCCTTACTTTTAATCATTGGCGACATATAACCAAATTGGAACCAGACAAATTATGCCCAAAAATGAGCATTTTATTCTCTTAATTGTTATATTCTTTCATCCGTTACTTTTTATGTTTGTTGCCTTCTAGACCTTTTTGTCATTCCCATATGGACCTACCCATATATATAGGGTTGGGTTCCGGTGAGCAGGGGTGCTCAAAATACTGACCAACCCGACCAACCCAACCAAAAAAACCCAAAAAAGTTCAACTCGAGCTAACCCTGTCGATATAAAATTAGACCAACCTGTATCTATTGGGTTAGGAATTTTTGAACCCAACCCAGTCCAATGAACCTGATGCACTTCTACACTATAGATTTAATGTGATTTTTAAGTCCTTGATTAACATATATACATTAGACGTTAGACCAATCCATAATTAGCTATATTCAAAATTGTAGTACTTTCTTATTTACATGAACCTTCAACTTTCTATTTTGAGTTTGTTAGTCTTTTTTGTATGTTATCATTTTGATTCTATTTCGTTTAGACAAAAACACTTAGCTAGTTGTAAAATGATACAACAAAGTTTCAACCCAACCAACCCGCACGGTTTGGGTTGGGTTGGGTTGAGATTTTTCAAACCGCAAACAATGGAAAATCCTGTATTTTACATATCCGTATGATTGAGTCCTTGGGTTTCCGAAATAGTGTAAAAAGAAGTGCTTCAAATCATTGCTATTCGACTTAGATCTATTCTAAAAAGTCGAGGTATTTCGAATTGTTTGTTGACACGGACAAAGTCAGGAAAACCTCAGATTTTTTCAATATTGAACCTTGGACATATAATAGTTCTGAATCGGATCTCTTTGAAAAGAAGATCTTTTGTCTCATGGTAGCCTGCTCTAGTCCCCTTACGAAACTTTTGGGTTGAGTTGTTCAAGTGCCTTCAACCCGGCCAACCCAACCCATGTGCAGCCCTACCGATGAGAAGGCAAGTTATGGTGAGAAGGGTAAGAAGGGATCTCCACCCTTGGATCAATCCTAATTGAAGATCAACCCTAATGAGATGAATCGAGATGCAGTGGATCAATTCCCTTCTAAAGCGCAATTCATGGGTGGGCATGAGATTAAAAGTGATCAAGGATGGAGATCTCTTCTTATGCTTCTCACCTTAACTCTTCTTCTCACATGATCCAAATCTCTCTCTCTCTCTCTCTCTCTATATATATATATATATATATATAAACCTGCACATAATTTGTTCATATGCTGTGGTTTTGATTTTTGGTGACTTGGTTTTATGATCAGTACCATTAGTGTACAACCTTTCTTCTGACATACATTATTTGTTATTGTTGAAGTTCGATATCATCTTGATGAGGACCCAAAGACTTTGAAGGTGCTCCCAATTCCACTTCACGATTCAAAAGGCACTACATTGCAATACGATCGTCTCAGCATATCCCCTGATGGAAAGATTTTGGCTGCCACTCATGGTTCAATACTACAATGGCTATCTGCTGAAACTGGGGAAGTATTAGAAACAGCTGATAAAGCACATGACGGTATTTCCAACTGCCTTATTACCTTTTTTCTTTAGCAAACTGTCCTTTTTTCTTCCTGGAAGAAACGCAAGAAATTGAATGAAAGTGCATTGTGTTACATACTTCCAAAACCATCATTTTGGAACTTCAAAAGTGATATCTCAAACATTTGGGAATTCACAAAAATACAATGTACTTTGGTCCGGTTTCTTTTTTATCACGTACGTTGGTCTAAATATTTGACATATCACATATGAGCCACCAGAATGAAGGTTCTGAGGGTATGTTACACAAACTAGGAATCAAATCAAAGTTCGTTGCATTTTCATGCAATTTGTCTTTTTATTTATTCTTTAAATGAAAAAGCAAATGTAACACCTTGACTGAACACATACACTATTTGACTATTAGTTGAATATCTAAAATACCCATCAATATTGACAAAATAGAGAACTATTTTGGATTAAATAAGTTATAACTTAAGTGAGCCTTTTCTCATAAATGATATGCGACATATGTTGGATGATGTGTATTATCTACTGCATATTTGAACTTGCTAAAAACTAAATTCAAAATTGACATTTGTATTTAGTTACCTGGCTAATGTGGTCATTAACATTCAGCTGTTAACCAACCAATTCTGATCATGTAAAGCAACTCATTTGACACTCAAATGTCAACAATGGACTCACTAAATTTCGAAACGGATGGTGTACTATACAAAATACCAAATTGACATCGATATATATAATTTTTTAGCATCAAAATTATATTATGCATCTGCTTCATATCATTTTATGTAGTCAGCAATTCTTCTGTGTTACCCATACTTTTCTTCTAGTTTTCAAGTTAAAAAGGTTAATCTTTTGAAGCTTAAAAGTCGTAAATAAATCTAATATAAAGAAGATGGAGATAGTAGTATTTCTTATTGAATTTCTTTATTAACTTTGCCCCAATACAAGAAAATTATTATTTTACTTTGTTTAGCAAACTTCTTTCTACTTTCGATATTATTTTGCTTCAATGTTGGTCTTATTATGTGCATGTATGCAGGTGATATCACCGACATCGCATGGGCACCTAAACCTATTCCTGTCGGTTAGTATTCTTCATCTTCTACTCTTCTCTCATATTTTTACACCATGGTATTACCCCTTAGGGGTGGGGGTTAACATGCTACCCTACAAGCAAAGCACATACTCCTTCCGTCCTAAATAAATGCCCACAATGAAAAAGGCAGAGAGTTTTAGAAATGTGTAATTATTGCAATTTTTATTAACCATATGACAATATTACCCCTTAATAGTAGAGAGAGTAATGGATTTCTCCATCTCCTAATTAAGGGTGAAATTGGAAAGTAGACACTTATCGGAACAAACTAAAATAGAAATGTGGACACTTATTTTGGGATGGAGTAGTAATTGTGCATTAAAAGATGGAATTCTTTTTATCTATAAATTAGGCCCTGAGCTTGTAGGCAATTGATAGAGAGCTCATGACTGACTCGTAAAACGTTCAGCAAGCCATATCTGATCCAGGTTCAAACCTAGTAGGGCTTTGGATTGTTGCCAAGCCTAAATGAGCGAGCCTGTATTAAGCTTATACGAGCCTGTAGACAATAGATATAAAAACGATATCTGTTTTGGTTCTCCTTCCTACGTTTTATGACAAATATCTTTATAGGTTCTACTTTGAACTTTATCCAAATTCTTTACGAGTCCAACTGTCGAAAAGCAAAGCCTATGTGAGTCGAACCAAAACATGTGTTATAGAAGCCGATAAGAAAGGGTCATATAGGCGAACAACCTTCTGACATTTTCTTTATGCATGAAATTCTGACAGATTTTGAGTCATTCTTGTGTTGAGAAGATTATTCTTCTGTTAGCAGAGACGTTCTTAAATTTGTCAAAAGGTCATGCATTTTAAAAAAATTGTCAAAAGTTTATAACCCCTATAAGAACTGTGCCCATATATGTTGAGCCAAGAATCAAGGGGTCTTTTGGTAACTGACCTTAAATGAGTTTTCATTTAGGAGCATGACCTTCTAAATGTTTTTATCTCAATGACCTTCATCGGACCTGCCCGTGGGTCAAACCAGCCTACTACTCCCGTAAAAACTTGAAAATACACTAGACAGAGAGTTAAAAAGTTCAGTTTTTGAGAAGCTCATTGAGCTAAATAGCCCAAGAATTGCGCATTTGGTGCTTCCAATCTTAACGAGGCATGAGCCAAGCCACCTATCAAGTCATTTGGTGCTTCCAGTGATAACCAAGTGTCGTAAATCTCTACAGGGGACAAACGGGTGACGATTTTAGCCACATCAAGTGTTGACAAGAAAGTGAAGTTGTGGGCAGCTCCAACGCTTTAAGAAACCGTCTACAAAAAATGTACAATGGCATCGGCACAAAAGCTCTTCTCGGATTTTATGTTTTGGGGAGTGGTTCGAAAGATGAATGATGTCACATGGTTTAAACCACAAGTGTTTTCGAGATGAGTTGGCACATAATCAATGTAAGTGATTAAGCGTCGGTTGGAGAATCAACCATGCTTTTTCTTTATGGGTACTATTATCGATGTTGTCGATGTCGTCGGAAGTTGGAAATTTGAAACTTGGTTAAAAGATGAGTGAAGATGGTGACTTTTTGGTTTCACATGAAAGAGAACTTAAATAGCAGTGACACATATTGGCTTGTAATGATCACAGAAGTGTTGCTTCCTTTTTGTTGTACTTTTTTTGGGCCTGAGCAAAATTTGCACTCAAAATCTAACTTTTTAAACCATGATTCCTAAAAGAGTAAAAGGTATGCAGTTTATCATTACTTTTTACATTTTCAATGCTATGATATAACCACCAAAAGGGGTTTAAATTGAAGCATTTTTTTATTAACCTGGATATCCATCTTGCTATACAAGCCGACTAATCTCAGGACGACTATAAGGGGATTTTTATTCCTTTTTGGATTTGAACCTGAGACCTTCTGGTACTTTTGATCTTTGGAGCCAAGCTCAAACCAATTAGGCACCACGAGAAGCATTTTGTTTGACATACAAAACAATTTTACCATTAAACAAGTTCTGTATAATGATTCTAAATCCCTCAGATTTTGTATCCACTGACCATTCATGTGCTCTTTCTCACGCCCCTCATTTCTCATACATTTGCTTCCTCACTTAAATTTATTCATTTGTTGGTGATTTTAATGCCATCAATCATTTCGTGTAATTGTGATTTACATGAGATCTGTTAAAGTGATATGACAAACATAGGTTAGGAAGTGTGGAGGATATACTTATAGATGTTGTCTCTATCACCTTATATCATCATAAGGTGGGGTCGTGGGGCCTGTGCCAAATATAGATTTGAGGTAGTGTAATCTGGTCCTTTGGATCATTGTTCTAAAGTTACCGCTGAAATTGACTTAAGTCTGAAACTCTGGATTTAGGGGTGTAAAGAAGTCGAGTTTTTAATAAGCTATCGACCTCGCGAGTCAATTTCAAACACGAAATACAATATGTTTAACTTAACGAGTCGAGCTCCATAACACCAATGTTTGACTCGACTCGTTCGCAAGCTCGATTAAACTTTACCAGTCAAGCGGAGTTGAGTCCACCCAAGTTGATTCGAACCATTCGAACATACATTTTTTGAGCCAACCATGCTTGTATGTTCACAAATTATGTAACCAAAATATCAAATATTCGAGTTTGAGCAAATAAACGAGTTAAAAACCTCGAGTTCGAGCTTATAAACAAACATTGAGCTCAACTCAAACAATGAAAAAAATATTCGAGCCTGATATTAATTTTTCGAGCTGAGCTCGAATAACCTGCTACTCGACTCGTTTACACCCTTGCTATTAGACTGGACTATAGAATCAAATCTCTGGTCTATTGAATCATATTTCTAGACTGTGCATTTAGACTTATGGTCTGTGCAATCAGACTTAGGTGCCGTTTACCAAACGCTTACCAGGGTAAGTGCTTACCAAGTCACTTTACTTTATTGGATGAATATGACAAAGACTAAGAATCTTACCCGGTAAGAACGAAGGGAAGAGTCAAAGACCTTCCAGCCTAGTGGTAAAGGCTTGGGCATGGCATAGTCATGAACCCGAGTTCGAGTCCTGGGAGGGGAGTGTTGGCGACATTTAAGTGAAGCCATGCTTAGCCTCCAAAATTGCCGGGGATTAGTCGGGCTTTGGCCCGGACACCCTTACAAAAAAAAAAAAAAGAACGAAGGAAAGAATCGAGAGTCTTACCCGGTAAGTGTGGACGAGGACTCTTACCATGGTTAGTTCTTACCGGGATAAATTGTTGCATACGATGCGTTTTAGTGAATAAAATCTTACCCGGTAAGTAAGCGATAGTGTTGAATTTTACCGGTAAGTGCTTACCGGGTAAGTGTTTAGGTAAACGGCCCCTTAGACTCAACACAGTCAAAGTTCAGATGACAGTTGTACTTGTTTTATAATCTTATCCATTAACGGTTATAACAGTTCTTAAAACGCTCAAAACTGTTGATCTCTCACATAAATATCTAAACGAGAATATGGGTATATATAAGGACTCGATCTCACAACCTTTGAGACATAATGTTTCTCTAGGATTATCCCAATACGAAATTCGTGATACCCACAATAGTTAGGGACAAAAGTGTACTTACACGACCCAAAGAGATTATACAGTCTACTAATCATCTCCAAATCCCTATATCTAACATTTATCTGCATCTAATCTGCTACACGTTCTTTTGGTTTTGATCAGTCATATTAAACTACACAAATGGTTAAAATGGTAATTTTCTGTCATTCAAACAATCTATTAAGCTATTCAAAACATCCACCAAACAGTCATATTTCAATCTGCATTATATCATCAAGAGTATAGCGTAATAAAGATTAAATACTCAGTATCATATAAGTAAATACAACCATGTTCTTGAAATACAGAAAACGAACACCCCTTTTTGGCTAAATCTTGACCATCGGATATCTTCACGTTACAAGATTACCATCAACATGTACAACAATAAAGGAGATGTAAAAGTTCCTTTTTGCGTTTTGCAGTACGTTCATAAACAATTGTATTTTACTCTTACAATATGTTCGACATCTATGATTTTTGTATACTAATTAGAGGTCTCAAAATGGACTAGGCTATAGGGTCGAAAGATTTTAATTAGAGGCGTCAATACCGATCCATTTATTTAAACTTGTATGGTTTGAGTTATATATTATTTCTAATGGGTAAAACAGATTAATAATAGATTGGACCGATGTTGTATATATTTCAAATTATGTGGTTTACATCAAAATGATCATATCTACCTCGTTAATTACATTCAAGCTTCTTAATGACGTGAGTCATAGCATGGCTTCAAAGTCTTAGTCACAGAGAGCTCACGACGTTTTTCATGGTGTGGCTTAATGTGACTGATCAATATATCATATAATATATATATATATATATATATATATATATTAGAAGCGTACTCGCGCAATGCAGCAAGATACATCGTGTTTTTAATATTTCATTTTATTCTTTATCTCAGTCGATGTTATAATATGGCTTTATGTGATTTTGAGAAAGCGAAGATGTTTTTATTTTTGAATAAAATATATGTTTGACGATATCATAAAAATTTGACAAAAATATATCGATATTAGTATCAAATTAACTATTTGAAATTTCTCATTTTTTTGTGTAATTTTTTAAT